AGCTGCTGCTCCTGCTGCTGATGCTGCTGCTCCTGCTGCTGTATCTCCAGGTAGAACGATAGCAGAGGATCATTGGCGTCGTTGCTGCTGCACTGCAGCAGCAGCAGCAGCAGCAGCACAGCTGCCTGCTGCATTTGGTAAACAAAGAAGCAGACAGGGGGGCCCCCAGCTGCGTCTGGTGGGGCCCCCCGATTGGTGTGTAGGTTGGGGGTACGGTAAGAGGTTTAATTGTCTCTTTTTACAAGGAGACCCTCGTGTCTTGCTGCAGCAGCAACAGCAGCAGCAGCAGCAGCAGGTGCAGCAGCAGCAGCAGCAGCAAGCAGAAAAGGCTGCTGCTGTATGGCAAACAAGGTTCTTTATAAGAGGCAGCAAACTGCTGCTGCTATGGCGACGATTTATTAAGGAAAGGGAGAGACGCGGCTGCTGCTGCTACTGCTGCAGCAGCAGCAGCAGCAACAGCAGCACAGAGCACTGCAGTCGCTGCCCCTCCAAATACAGACAACAACAGCAGCAGCAACAGCAGCAGCAACAGCAGCAGCAGCAGCAGCAGCAAGCTGTCTCTCTTGTGTCTCCTTGTACCTGTGGGGCCCCCCAAGAAGGAGACAGCTGCAGTTGTATAGACAAGCAGCTGCGGCTATTGCATGCGCTTCCTTCCTGTTGCTCCCGTGCTGCTGCTGCAGAGCAGCAGCAGCAACAGCAGCAACAGCAGCAGCAGCAGCAGCAGGAGTCTGTCTGTGGCTGTTTAGTAGATTTATTTATACATAAGAGTTACTTATTATTATGCCGCTATTATTGTATATGTGGTCTTAATAAGGAAGGAAGGGGACTAAGCTGTGGGGCCCCCCACCCTGTGCTGCTGCTGCTGCAGCAGCAGCTAGCAGCAGCAGCAATAGAAGCATTTGCTTCTCCTCTTAATGCTCGTTGCTGCACATTTTTCTCCCTCTTCCCTGACACAGACACACCATTTGGCAGCAGAGGCCTTTTCTTTAATGGTCTACAGCCTCTGCTGCAGCAACTGCAGCAGCAGCAGCAACAGCAGCAGCAGCAGCAGCAGCAGGAGTTGAAATATTTTATCTTCTGTAATCCGCCGTTTGAAGAAGTAATCATCAGACGGTTAGAGAGACACATCTTGCATGCCCTCAATGACAGCAGCAGCAGCAGCAGCAGCAGCAGCAACAACAACAGCAGCAGCAAGAATAAAAACAACAATAACAGCAGCAGCAGCAACAACAGCAGCAACAGCAGCAGCAGCAGGAGTATGCCAATAGTATTTGTAGTATGTTTACCTGATTGGCGTGGTATAGGAGATAGAGAAGGTTTATTATTTGCTGCTGCACTGCAGCGCAGCAGCAGCTGCTGCGGTTTGCTGCTGCTGCTGCCAGAGATGCATGCATATATTAGTGGCTATGAACATTTCTGTGATTGTCACTATGAGTCTCTTCGTTCTCCTTGTGGCTCTTTGCTGCTGCTGCTGCTCAATACAGCAGCAAAAAATATCCTATGCTGCAGCAGCAGCAGCAGCAGCAGCAGCAGCAATGGGAACAACAACAACAACAGCAGCAGCAGCAACAGCAACAGCAACAGCAACAGGAGAGGGCAACAGGTCTTAGAGGCTGCAGCTGATGCTTGGCATAAACATACTAGACATAGTAATGGACGATACTAAACCCTAAACCCTAAACCCTTGTAAACCCTAAACCCTAAACCCTAGTAAACCCTAGTAAACCCTAAACCCTAATATTTGGTGTTAATGTATGCACACTATACAACGGATGTAAGTCTCTAGGGTTTAGGGTTTAGGGGTTAAATATAAGTATCCATTGCAGCAGCAGCTGCTGCTGCTGCTGCAGCAGCAATTTGCTGCTGCTGCTGCTTTGCACTGCCTATTGCTGCAGCTATATGTTTCTTGTCTCTTGTCACTGCTGCTGCTGCTGCTGCTGCAGTAGCAGCAGCAGCAGCAGCAAACTTGTCTTTGCTGCTCTCAGCATATAATTCAAACTATCCTTCTTGTCTCCGAAGCAGCAAGTGCTGCTGTCGTTGCTGCTGCTGTTGCTGCTGCTGCCGCCGTTTCCTGCTGCTGCTGCTGCTGCTGCTGCACTGCCTAGACTGGGCAAGGGCTGCTGCCCAATCAGCTGCAGCAGGAGTAACTGTTGCTGCATTTGCTGCTGCTGCATTTGCTGCTGTATTTGCTGCTGCATTTGCTGCTGCTTCTGTTGCTGCTGCATTTGCTGCAGCAGCAGATCTATTTCTTTTCTTTCTTCAGTTTACGTCTGCAGCAAAATAAATAAATAAATATAATAAAATAAATAAATAAATAAATAAATAAATAAATAAATAAATATAATAAATTAATTAAGTATATACAATTAAACAGAAAAGAAATAATGAATTGTTTAGCAGCAGCAGCAGCAGCAACAGCAGCAGCAGCAGCAGCAACAGCAGCAGCAGCAACAGCAACAGCAGCAGCAGCAGCAGCAACAGCAACAGCAGCAGCAGCAGC